CCGATGCTTTGAGATAGGAGAGAAATCTCGTCCATTCTCCGAGATGCACAGCTCTCCTGAGCCTTAGCCGAGCGCTACTGTGACCGCATGAGATACTTAACGAAGTTATTCGTCTGAGAAGCGACGTTTGCGTGTTTAGACACACAACAGTGTGGAACGAGAGTCTCCCGTAATCGTTGTGCACAGATTGACGTTTCGACTCGGGTGACGTCGGTGCTCTCTCGGCTCTCCACGATGAGGGGAAAATCTTCCGGAATAGCACGGTTACGTGCGGTCTCGGACGGAAGAGGGGCTACTATTAGAGAGATGGGCTTCTATTGGAGAGGGGCTTCTATATTTACGAACCTCCCCGAGGGGGGCTTGTATTGGGAGGGGCTACGTATCAGTGACAGGGCTTCCAATAGAAGATTTACGGTGTATAAAAACGTCTGTCTGTCTGTCTGTCTGTCTGTCTGTCTGTCTGTCTGTCTGACTGTCTGTCTGTCTGACTGTCTGACTGTCTGTCTGTCTGTCTGTCTGTCTGTCTGTCTGTCTGTCTGTCTGTCTGTCTGTCTGTCCGGGGTACCCAATAGACTGGAAAACGGCTGAAGCGATCGTCGTGAAAATTCGTCGTGAGACCCCGTTCAATGAGAAGCGCCACTCGGCCGTCCACAACTCAGGAACTCAGGATCACATTTGCATCGTTTAACGTAGGTCAAATCGAAATAAAAAAGATTATACATAGAACGGCTCTCGATTCTCCTCCCATCCAGCGAATCTGAGCGTCGCCATCAGGCTTCTGCTTCAACCGCTTCGAAAGAATCGCACTCGGCGCGCGAGCAGTGGGGGCGCGGGGCGCCCTCACGGCTGGTTTATTTATACAAATAGGTAAATGTAAACGGAGCGTAACTCGCTCTCGAATACTCTGCGGAGCTTCGATGAGGCCGAATATTCCGATTGAGCTCCGTCGTGTACCGATTGGAATCGCATATCCGAGTCAAACGTGCGACCGCAAGGAGTTCCTGATCCTTCGGCCTGATCACTGTGACTGAATCCGGCACCTGATTCTGGGCACCGACTTTGGAGCTGCATGTAAGAGGATTCAAGGTAGGACTCGGATCCGCCTCTAAGGCGATGATGCATCGGATTCCGGCAGAATCAGGAAGCTGATTTTAAATTATTTTAAATTTTAATAAATTTTAAATTACAAATCGGGATGCTTGGCCATCCTGAGGACCTCGATGACGTTTCTCGGCAAGATTGCGAACCTTGAACACATACAACTGACGTGCACGCGGTCCGGTCTGAAGATCAAAAATAGTATGTATCACACGTGCTCATACAGTGGTGGCATGATGGGTGGTCTCATCATCTGCACGCAGGTCGAGGTGGTGTGCGCGTGTACGTTTCGAAGTACGCTGCCACAGACATTCGACAGCAAGCGCGGAAACATTCGCTCGGGACATTTGTGAAACGGAGGTCATCGAAGATGGACAACCCTTTCTGGACTTCTCTGGCGAGCCGAAACGAGTCGAGTTTTGCATCGGTCGGCTCGTTCCTTCACGCGCCGTTTTCGTGGGATTTCGACCGGAACGTGCAGATCGGTGCTTTTGTTGAATCGGCATTCTTCCCCGACGACACGCCTCGTTCCGCCACCTATTGGCTCGCCGAAATCGTTTCGAGAAAAAGCTACTACGTCCGACTGCGCTGGCTCGGAGGTGAGTTTCTACGAGCGGTGGGAATCGCACAGGCTCCATGAGGCTTCCGGCCCGCGATCATTTTTCCCTGAGATTCGCGGAGATTCCCGTTCCGAAGATAGACCGATCACATCTTGCCCGCTCTCCCAATAGGGACCGACCCAAACCAGGATTTCTGGCGGAACTTCGGCGCTTTTAAGGAGCCCTTCGCCAACCAGAAGGATATCAGAATCCACCCGGTTGGCTGGGCGAAGCAGAATCGGAAGCCATTCGGACCGCCGGACGCGCTCCACATCGTCGACAAGCGCTCTTACATGAGAACCCACCTCGGAGGAAAACAGGTTCTGGCCGAAGACTTCCATGGAGTTTCCGAAAGCGAGAACACATGCCTTTTCACGCCAGGTTTGACAGTTTTTCATTCGTTCTTTCCATGTCTGAGTTCATGGGAAGGAGCGTTCGAAGGATACGAATATCCCCACAGTTAACATATACAAACGATGAGAGGGACGAGGGGGGGGTGAAGAGTATCGGTGACGTATTTTCTTTCGCAGGTGTCGAAGTTGAAGTCACGGACCTCGCACGAGTTTCGGCGGTGAAAACCGCGGTCGTGGTGGGAGACATCGGCCGTCGGGTGCAATTCCGATACACCGACGGATCGGGCTTCGCATACTTTCACGAATTCAGCGACATGTTCTATGCATGTGGCTGGGCTCGTCTCCACGGCCGCGAAATAAGCGCCAGTCCAGAGGACTATTACCGACGATCCCTGAAAGAAATTCTCGGATACAATGCGCCTTCTGATCGGGCATCTATTTTCAATTTCAAACCTCTCCTGGTGCCTGACTCGGTGAGGCTGCGCTGATCGGAGACAGCATCTTATCGATCTCGGCATCTGAACTCACATAGTCCGCGACACGGTCCTGCCGGGTTGACGGTTCCGTCGAGCCTCTCATATCACCAGATTCTCCATCATTCCAGCTCGCGAACGAGTTGAAGCTTGTGAAGGTCGAAACGCTGATCGGAGCGAAGCTCGAGATCGTGGACCTCCTGCGCCCCCACTGCATATCTGTGGGCAGAGTGAAGCGGATTCTCCGCAATTTTTACTTGATGATTGAAATCGACGGGAATTCCGCCTCAGACGGCAGCGACGATTTGTGCGTCCACATCTCGTCGCCACTCCTACTCCCAGCGGGCTTCGCGTCGGAGAACGGTCTCGAGCGCTTTTTCGACCCGCCATATCCAGGCTTCGAGTAAGTTTCGATCGGCGGTGTCCTGTGGCGAATGACGGTGGCCGGACGCATTATGTGTTTCTGAGGGCCTCGGTCGCGATTCACTTGGGAGTCTCTCATTTCAGTTGGAGCAAGGAAACGAACGTTGTCCCGAAGAAGCTCCTCGAACGCGTCCTGCCGCCGCACAACTTCAGAGAGGGACAGTTCCTCGAAGCCGTCGGAATCACCGGCAGCAACAAAATGTATGTTGCTCGGGTGGAAAGGGTTGTCAAACCCCTGCTCCGCATTCATTATGAGGGCTTTCCTCATGAAGACGATATTTTTATGCCTATCTCGAGCACTGATATCTATCCTGCCGGGTGGTGCGAAATGGTGGGGCACGAGCTCATAACGCCCTTGAGCCGGAGGCGAGCCCGTCCAGGACGGCGCTAGCTCGCCCGATCCTCCGTAGAGACCAGCGCCTCAAAACCAGGACTCGTCAGGAAGCATCTTATTGCTCTAGAGCTTTTATCCCTGAAACAAATCGGACTCTCTCGCTTCTCTGGTATTCATCCATTGTGTTGTTTAAGAAAGCTGAGAGTAATGATTCAAAGAACATACGAAACAACTTGTCAACTGCTCTTTTGTCTTCATTCCATAAGTGAGCATGGGATGTGGCGCTCAGACTCAGTAGATCCATGGCTCGAAGATTCTGCGGCGAAAGGCAACGGGGACCGCGTTTTCGTTGCAATGCCTCACTATCAAAGGAACTCCGTAGCTGGAGGAACTGAGCCGCTAGTGATCTCGCTGTATTCACATTTCGACAACGAAGACGATGGAGCCCGAAATATGGCGAATCCATAAGACGACCCTGGACGGGAGTCGAGGCGAAGCCACGGCGCGGCCTTGCGCGGGCGCCGACAGCACTTGGATCCGAAGGGGCGACTCTTCTCCGCGGAAAGTGCGGTATCCGACCCGGGGAGAGGGAGAATTCGACTCTTTCAAGTCCGTGACGCTCTCGTCGAGGCATCTTCGGAGTTGTATCGCAGAGAGAATTTCGCTTCCTGATCCGGAGTCTGTCGTTGCGCTCAAACCACCCGGTCAGGAAATTCTGCCTCAACGAGCAGCGAGAACCGTTCAGAGAGATACCGGTGTCCCCATTTCAAGCTCTCCATTCAACACCTTCCCGGAGACGTTCAGTTTCTCGAATCGAGAGCGTACAGAAAATTTGACGTCCAACATCAGACGAACTGTGTTGTCCCAGTTCTCAACGGCTTCCGTTTTCCGCGTTTCTTTTCCGATCGACTGGCAGTTTACTTTCGAAGGTCAGGCATTCAAACTACTGAGGCAATACTTACTGTCATACTCGATAAGTGTTCAGCCAACCCGACCTCCCACTAGTCGAACGATCGACAATCGGAAGATTGAGAATCGGGTTAGCGAGGTAACACCGTGTGCCTGGGGAATACCCGGGAATCCCGAGTATCAGTGTTGCCATAGTCGAGCTCCTGGGGCTCACCTCTGGTGGGTACGCACCAACCTAGCCCTCACAGGTTCGTTTTCGTTAGGACCCGAGTTGTCGTAATGGCTCTAAGCTCGTTTCTACATTGATCAGAGCGGTCGATTCGAATCTAGATTTCTCGCTCTGGCGAATCCATGCGCGAGCTGTTTACTTTCTCAAAATCGGCAGTCTTGATTATTTGAACCAGCAGCTTCTCCTGCCAAAGGAGCACTTTTCGGCGACCGATCTGACCGTCCTCACGTCCGCACTATCGATCTCTAGGCAGTTTGGGGCCAAATGACCAATCTGAATCGACTTGTCCAACCAGGAATTGCGTCAAGACCAGAATCACTCAATAGGAGAATCGATCTGATCAGCCAGCGATTCCGCTCTAAGCTCGAACGTGATGGAGCGACGAGAGACGCGACGCTTCCGCTCCGCAACCATGTCTTCTGAGGATGCGGATTTCAATTTCGAAACCATTGGGGTCCTCCTTTCAACACGAGTTCCCAAGGAATCGTCGTAGTCTCAAATGAACGCCTGGTGTTTCTCAGGGGCTTTCCCCTCGCAAGTAGCCAGTTCAATGAAGACCGGCGCCTCACCACAACCTACCATAGGGTCGAATCGCTTGCGGACACCTCCGGCGAATCGATGAAGCGACTTCCGAACTTCGGCCCACTGCTAGGGGGAACATAATGATGGGAGAGAGGATCCGCACAGACTTCAATTTTTTATTGCTCGGGGAAAATCGTCTAATAAGATCGATTCCTGCTCGGGAGAATCGGCGAAAATCGTCGGAGACCGTGGGAACTCTCTCCAACTCCGGAGGTCTATCAGGGGCTATCAACATAATGACGAGGTCAACGGGAGATCGGGTTGTTGCCACTTCGGTGCTGCTGAATTTTTCGCGATGACCAACGAGTCTAACACGGATCCCTAAAAGAGACAAGAGAGCTCAGGAATCGATCACCTCGAGGAATTGATTCCGCCAGCGCATTGATTTTGGCCCGCAGGGAGTAGTCACTCATCGAGTTCAAGCAGAGCTAACCTCAGGCACGGAAACTGTTCCATGAGTATGTGGGTTTTGTTGAGGAGCTGCAGCCTTGTGTACGAGTAGTAGTCGGCGGTCCGATAGGCGCTGATATTGCGGAAATCTTCACCGAAGGGACTCAGTTCCTCACGGTTACCCTGCAACCAGATGATGACCAGTTCGAGTGACCAACCCCTCACGAACATGGTAGAAATTCAGACCGGTAATCTTGGGTCTACCGTCTTCTCACTGGGGTGCTCCTAGCGGATATCGCTGTTTTGCAAGCGAGATTCCTAACTTACCGGTGCTCCCGTGACAATGTGAACCGGGCTCGACGGATCGATGTACGCAGCGCTTGTTCGATCGGACACCTCCCACTTGTATAGCGGCCAGAGCCGCTCGTATGAGTGCTGGTGTCCCGCCCAGTAGATGTCGACTCCATATTTCTTCAGAAGATCCTCGACCGAGAAGTCCTGAGTGAAGGGCATCCCTGAGCGCAGGATGCTGTACGGAGCCGAGCAATCGCGGAACTCTGTCAAGGTTCAATGAACGATGTCAACGCGATCGATTATAGTCAGATCGCTCTCGCGATCTCCTCTTTCCTCCCTTCGATTTTTCCAGACTGTCCTCCTCGATGATGCAAGCCTACCCTGGTTGGTACAGTACATAGGACGGTGACCTATCAAGAATATCCAAGGTCTCTTCTGCCGGTTTTCAGGTAGATTCGCCTCCTCCAAATCCTGAATGAGCCAATTGTATTGGCTCTGGATCTGCTCGTAGCCGAATCGAAGGTAAAAGTAGAACTCAGTAGTGAACAGAACCATGTGGACTGGTCCAACGTTGAACGAATGGAAGAAGTTGTTTCGCTGGTTTTGCTGTCGATTCCACATCGAGAAGCGAGCCTCGTAGTTGGAGAAATTGCTGGAGTTCAAAGTTTCGAGGACCAAAATCAATTCAATTCTTTCGTTCTGGGACTCAAACGAAGTCTTTTCCCTTGGAGCCCTCAGAAACGACAATTCCTATGAATTGAACTCACTAGTGATACTCATGGTTGCCGGGGCAGACCTGGTATGGGACATAAGCTGCTATAGGTTCGATTTGCCGCATGAACTCATCGGCACGCCGCGCATTGTCCTAGAGCGCGAATAATCCGAAGTCAATCGGTAACCAGGGCCTGGTGGTCTATCGGACTCATAATCTTATAGGTCAGGAGCAATGAATTGTCGGCAATGAAATCCGCTCCACTCACGTCTGCCATATCGTAGGCGAAATCGCCCAAGTGGATCACGGTGTCTATCTGAGAATTCAGAACCTCTTCTTCGATAGCTGTCAAGGCCTGATCGTTGCTGTTCCCTAAGTCGCCGTAAATAAGGAACTTCGGGTTGAAAGCGTCATCTATCAGGAGGCTCCTGAACGTGAAAACGTCGCTCCACCCCACGACTGGGTCTCCGCAATGGTAACCTGGACGGGAGATCAAGTCCGGTGAGCCATAAAGTCCAAGAGCTACGCCAAAATAACCGTTATCCAATTATCCGCACTCTGATTTTCGACAGATTTCGGGCGCTCACGGTAATAGGTCCCAGGTGTGACTCCAGTGAGCACGACTCGATGATTGTAGATTTTGCGTCGCTCATCCCCGAAGTCCTCCTAAAGCTCCATGGTGCCGTGCCGTTTCTCGGTCAATGTATGGCTTGATGTCGAATCCAAGCCGTATTCTACCACCGAAAAGTTTGTCGGGGACAGCGTCACCCAAGTGACTATCATTTCGGTCTCATCAGCTGCATGAAGATATATTCGTCCTTGATGAAAAGTCTCGAGCGATTTTCCCGACTAGAGCTTTCTTTTCGAAGCGGGCGGAGGAGGGGGGGGGGTGCGAGGAAACTTTGGAACTCACCGCCTAGGCTGAGGTGGACCTGTTCGGGCTGGAGATAGAGGACGGGAGAGCCATCAAAGAGGGCACGCGATGGTGGGGTCGCTAGAACCAGCAGAATCCACCAAAAATTTCGCAGCTCTTTCATGGCTCACCGCGGACCAGAACTTGGCTCCTCTCAGCTGGAAGTGAGCTCCGGATGTGGATGAAAATGCGGTGTCCTGTCGGAAATTTATATCGATTGCTCTCGCATCAACGCTAAGCGACCATGGAGCGCGGTCATTACCGAATCCGGAGACCTCAGCTCGTTAATCCGCGTGTTCTCCGGGTCCTCATTCTCCGCGCTTGACGCGCAGCAGTGCGACAAGAGCGCTTAGCCGATCCCGCTACGATGGAGATCGTTGTATAGAGCCCATACCGGGCTACTCATTCCCGCGACTTAAAATTATCGTCACGTAGATGATAAGACTGTTACCGATCGACCTGTGTCGAGAATTTATAGCCTCCGATTATTTCCGGTCGCGAGTCGCGGGATTTTCCCTCCTATAAACAATGTTCGCGGAAGCCTCCTCGTGCTGGGGGGATTGGGGTTTCCGGATTATTCGGATTGATCAGAGCGCAGGAAGCCGATCGCGAGTCGCGGAATTTCTCCTCCCATAGAGCATGCCCCCTGAAGCCTCCTCTGAGCTCGAGCGATTCGGGTACTCGGAGTACTCGTGCAAAAAAAAACGTCACTACGTTTGACGTACGTCCTTGAAGTGCCGCGGCGCGGCACTGCGTGCCTTCGTGTGATACTTACTCGCCGAGAGTGGAGTTCTTCGATATAATTTTCACATTGATTCTGCCACAGAAGACGATACGAACTATACGGCAGGTTTCATAGTCCGCGACCTTGTGCTCCGTCGGAAATAGCTCACGTTGCAGGGCGCTCAAATAGTTTCAATGTCGACATGAAGCTGGGGTTAACGGAGCCGGTCGGCACTCCCTCGTAGGTATTCCCGCAGAATCTCCGATGCTATTTATTGCTTGAATTTCCCGGAGACGTCTCGCATCTGGACGATCTTTTCCCCATCTGCTCCCGGGGGGTGAAAGCAGAATCTCGATTTCTAGTCACGCTGACAAATCTTTCCGTCTCGCGTGTCAAGTTCGTGGACGATAATTCCACAGGTAGGTTGCTACTGTTTCAATCAATCGGATCAATACCCTTGTAGCTCCAATCCAGAGCTCCCAATCAGGCCCATCGTTTCAGGGTGACCAGAATACTGTTAAACGCACCTCCCGGGAGGCTGTTGTTGCGAACTATGGAGGACTGCCGACCGATTTCGGAATGTATCAGCAACATGAAGCTCTCGGCGGTCCTGACAGTGACGGTTCTATTTGGAGGTGCCGCAGCTTTGCCTAGTGAGTATGTTTCGGAGTTTCCCCGTCGCATCGTTGTCCATTGGGTCCGGAACAAGAAGCTATGAAATCTAAGTTTTATACGTGCCAATCCCAGCATTGTTCCCGCGACTCTATATAGAGCCTTGCGGTGATGGAGCTGGAGTCTGCATGACAGGGATCGAATGTGGTTTCCAGAGAGGTCGGTCTCTCGGTCAAAACTCCACGAGCAGACAGTGGAAAATTCGCGTCAGCCAGATTCCCTGTTATTCCGAGCGGCTTGCGCCGCCAAATTGCTTGCAATATTTCGAAGAAGACTCCGAGATAATATCCAGCTTCAGCTACGGGAGCCTCTTCAACGATTCTTCTTATCCCTCGGATTTGAGGTAAGGTAGAGGGTTCTACTTCAATTATGAGAGATCGCCTCGATATTTTCCTTTGATGTCGGTCCGCAGCAAGCAGCGGCAAACTCGAATGCCATGCGATTGGATGCCTACAGGGTCCGTTGATTTTTCCCGTGTTCGTCACGTGAAATATTGCAGATATCGGATGTGCTTCCGGGACGCTTGCATCGTGCAATTGACCCAAGTCGGAGCATTTGGTCTCGGAGAGAAACCCGAGGCATCGGGCCGGCTCGCCGATAATCTTGGGGAATTGTCTGACAGAGTCTGCGACGACTTGACAAGTTACGACGAGAACAGGAAACGGAAAGCGTATCTCACCATCGACAGAATCGAGTTCTGCGGGAACAAATTCCTACGTAGTTTCCGAACAAGTGAGTTCCGCTACGTCCTTGTCCTCGTCATATTTTCTCTGTCAGATAGATCGATTGATTGGCCGAGCCTTTACTCCCCTCTTTAAACAAGGTATATGATATTCGTGAATCGGGAAAAACCCATACACGGGCACATACAGTCTCGACATTGTTGCACTCTGTCACTTCCGGCATGCCCCCGTCCCTCTCCGAGGATCAATGGATCAGAGATCCTCTCAAGTCCACGTCTCCATTCTGTAAAGGGGGAGCGAAGCCAGAGTTCTTGACCGGAGCGCTTCAGTTTCTATTCCTCTACGGAGAGATCTATTCCAGGGAATGCGATATCATCCATCGGATTCAATTCACCAGAGAGAGAAGAAGGACGCGACGACTACGGTAGGGCACCTTATCCTGGCTTCCAGCTCCAATACAAGAGCAATTGCGGGAGGCTCCTCAAATGAAGATCGCGGATTCGTTGCTACAACCCCGCCGACTCGCGTCCCGGGTGGGTCCACCTATGTA